AGGAGGAGGAGGAGGAGGGAGGAGGAGGAGGAGGAGGAGGAGGGGCGAAGGAGGAGGAGGAGGAGGAGGAGGAGGAGGAGGAGGAGGAGGGAGGAGGAGGGCGAGGAGGAGGAGGAGGAGGAGGAGGAGGAGGAGGAGGAGGAGGAGGAGGAGGAGGAGGAGGGGGAGGGGGAGGGAGGAGCGAGGAGGAGGAGGAGGAGGAGGCAGCGAGGAGGAGGAGGAGGAGGAGGAGGAGGAGGAGGAGGAGGAGGGGAGGAGGGCGAGGAGGAGGAGGAGGAGGAGGAGGAGGAGGGGAGGAGGAGGAGAGAGGAGGAGGAGGAGGAGGAGGAGGAGGAGGAGGAGGGGAGGAGGAGGAGGAGGAGGAGGGGGAGGGGAGGGGAGGAGGAGGAGGAGGAGGAGGAGGAGGAGGAGGAGGAGGAGGAGGAGGAGGAGGAGGGTCCTGCGGGGGACCCCCTGGGCCGTCGCCCCCAGACGGAGCCGCGGGCATCGACGGCGCCGCGGGCGCGGGAGGCCCGCCCGCGGGCGACGACGAGCGGCTGGGGGCGGCCATGCGTTCCCTCCGGGAGGACGGCGCCGCGGGTGTCGCGCGCCATGGGCTGTTCCTGGGCTATTCCTGCCTTCGATAGGGGCCATTCTTGAAAGGGGCCCTGAGGAGGGTGCACAACTCTTATGAGTCTCCGCTCCGAGGTTGTTGTAAGGGTGTTCACGTTTGGGCGCTCCATCCCAGCGGCACCTTGGCCGCTGACGCGCCCTCGAGATAGAGCATACAGCAAGCCAGACGCCCTGGTCAGGATGAGGCGCAGGAAGCAGGGAGGTACAGTCCCAGACCCCCTCGCGCTGTGGGACAAAAATCAAGACGGAAGGCTTTTCGCTGTGTTCGGCTTCTGGGAGCTACAGTCCCAGTCCCCTTCGCGCTGTGAAACAAAATCACGACGGGAGGTTTTTCATTATTTTCGGCCTCCGGGAGCTACAGTCCAGACCCCTTCGCGCTGTCAAGAAATCACGACGGGAGGTCTTTCGCTATTTACGGATTGTAGGAGTTACAATCCCAGACCCCCTCGCGTTGTGACAGAAATCACGACGGGAGGTTTTTCGCTGTTTTCGGCTTCCAGGGGCCCTGATCGGGCCTCGGGGCCGTCAGAAAACGACTCGGCACGAGAAACCGGTCCGGAAGGGGTCAACGTTGTGAACAAAATCGCGACGTGGGGGGTCTGCGAGCAGGGAGATACAGCCGATATCGATGATAAGGATGGGTATAGAGAAACGTACAATGACAGACACACACACTCACACACTCACACACACACACTCACAGACACACACACACCCACACACCCACACACCCACACACCCACACACACACACACCCACACACCCACACCCACACAACCACACACACCCACACCCACACACACCCACCCCACACACCTACACACCCACACACCCCCACCCCCCCCCACACCCACCCACACACACACGCAAACGCCCACACCCACACCCACACCCACCCACACCCACACCCACACCCACACCCGCACACACACACACATCCACCCACACCCACACACCCACACCCACACGCACACCCAGACCCAGACCCAGATCCACACCCACACCCACACCCACAACCAGACCCACACGCACACCCACACCCACACCCACACCCACACCCACACCCACAACCAGACCCAGACCCAGATCCACACCCACACCCAGACCCAGATCCACACCCACACCCACACCCACACCCACACCCACACCCACACCCAGATCCACACCCACCCCCATGCCCACACCCACACCCACACCCACACGCACACGCACACGCACACGCACACGCACACGCACACGCACACGCACACGCACGCGCACACGCGCACACGCGCACACGCGCACGCGCACGCGCACGCGCACGCGCACGCGCACGCTCGCACGCACGCACGCACCACACGCACACGCACACGCACACGCACACGCACACGCACACGCACACGCACACGCACACACGCACACGCACACGCACACGCACACGCACACGCACACGCACACGCACACGCACACGCACACGCACACGCACACGCACACGCACACGCACACGCACACGCACACGCACACGCACACGCACACGCACACGCACACGCACACGCACACGCACACGCACACGCACACGCACACGCACACGCACACGCACACGCACACGCACACGCACACGCACACGCACACGCACACGCACACGCACACGCACACGCACACGCACACGCACACGCACACGCACACGCACACGCACACGCACACGCACACGCACACGCACACGCGCACGCGCACGCGCACGCGCACGCGCACGCGCACGCGCACGCGCACGCGCACGCGCACGCACACGCGCACGCACACGCACACGCACACGCACACGCACACGCACACACACACGCACACGCACACACACACACACCCCACGCACACCATTCACACCACACACATCACCTCCCCACCCCACCACCCCGCACACACAGACACACACACACAAGCACGCACACACACACACACACACACGCACGCCCTCACGCACGCACGCACGCACGCACGCACGCTCTCGCGCGCGCAACGCAACCCAACCACAACACAGCACAACACAACACACCGCACCACACCACAATACAACACAACACACCACAACACAACACGACACGACACAGCACAACACACCACAGCACACCACACCACACCACACCACAGCACAACACAACACAACACAGCACAGCACAGCACAGCACAACGCAACACACCACAACAGAACACAACACAACATACCAGAACAGATCAGAGCAGAACAGAACAGAACACAACACACCACAAGACACAGACACAGACACAGACGCAGACACAGACACAGACACAGACACGGACACGGAAACAGCCACAGCCACAGACACAGACACAGCCACAGACACAGACACCGACACAGACACAGACACAGACACAGACACAGACACATATACAGACACGGACACAGACACATACAGACACACAGACAGGCACACAGACAGGCACACAGACAGACACACAGACAGACACAGACAGACACACAGACAGACACGCAGACAGACACACAGACAGACACACAGGCAGACATACATACAGACACACAGGAAGACACGCCGACAGACACACAAACAGACACACAGACAGACACACAGGCAGACACACAGACAGACTTACAGACAGACACACAGACAGACACAACGACGCACAGACACACAGACACACAGACACACAGACACAAAGACACACAGACACACAGACACACAGACACACAGACACACAGACACACAGACACACAGACACACAGGCACACAGACACACAGACACACAGACACACAGACACACAGACACACAGACACAGACACACAGACACACAGACGCACAGGCGCACAGACGCACGCACGCACGCACGCACGCACGCACGCACACACACGCAGACGCACGCGCAGTCGCACACGCACACGCACACGCACACGCACACGCACACGCACGCGCACGCGCACGCGCACGCGGAGACGCGCACGCACACGCACACGCACACGCACACGCACACCCCACACCCCACACCCCACACCCCACACCCACACCCACACCCACACCACCCACACCCACACCCACACCCACACCCACACCCACACCCACACCCACACCCACACCCGCACCCACACCCACACACCCATTCGCACACGCACACGCACACGCACACGCACACGCACACGCACACGCACACGCACACACATACACACACATACACACATACACACGTACACACATACACACATGCACTCACTCACTCACTCACTCACTCACTCACTCACTCACTCACATACATAAAATTATATATATGTATATATATGTATATATGTATATATATATATATATATATATTCGGAAGTTTCACGTGGATTCCTCGGATCGTCGCTGGGGCCCCCTGGGGGCGCCTTTGGCCCCCCCTTGGCGCAGATCCAAGAACTCCACGCGGACCATCGAAGTTTTCTTTTCATGCGTTTTATTTTTCTTCTGAAGGGTACCATTGCAGGATGAGGAGCAGGATAGATAACCATCCCAAGGGACTCTTGCAGAATGGGTCACTTGCCTGAAGGGACCTGGGCAAGATGAGCAGCCGGGAGCAAGGAGCTGACGCTGGAATCGAAGATAAGCACGGGTAACCTTCCCAACGGCACCCCGGTATCCTTGCCTCTTCGGTCCATCCTTAACCACTGTTGACGGTCAGCCCCGCTCGAAAAGCTTCGACATGGGCGTCCAAGGGTCTTCATCGTTATCGCGCATCCTAGCTATCCGTTTTGACTGTCTGTGCTGGCCCGCCTCCGAGCGTCGGGAAAGAAATTGCCCTTGGAGCCGGCTGGGGGTTTGAGGTGGCCTAGCGCTGGCTCCTGCCAGCAGGACTGGGGGGAAGAGCCGTCTCAGATATTTTTACGAGTCGTTCAAGACATGCTCTTCGTCAAGGGAGCGAGGGATGAAACTCGCCCTCTTCCCCCAGCAGAAGCTAGCGGAACGCCCTTAGAAGCCAGCGAGCGTAAAGTAAAACGACGGCGGCTCCATCTGCCGCGTGTGAAGCCTGGCAGGGGTCTGGCGGAAGCCCGCGCGGAAGTGAACGCAGCACCCCCATAGCATTTACCAGAGTTCAGTGCTGGCGTCATCCGATTATTTCGGATTCGGCCGTGAAGGCGCTGGCGGACACCTCGGCGGAGCTCCATCATCTACAGGACGCTGGGGTCCGCGTTGCCGTGGGGGCGCGCCGATATCGGCCAGACTTTGGGCCCCCGTGGGGGCCAGACGTCCTCGCGTTCCCTGCCCCGGCCCCCTTCGAAGCGCGCTTCCCGACGCTGAGGCACGGCTCCCGCGCGCAGACACTGCAGGCGCGCGCGCAGGGCGCAAGATCGCGCGACCCTCGTGCCCCGGCCGCTCCCTGCCTCCCACCCTGCCGTCGGCTCTGGCAGGACGCGAGCCCCACCGTCACGTCGTTCGCTGTGGCGATGGACGTCTGCAACAAGCGCAACCTGGCGGAGACCGCGCTGGAGATCTTCGACGTGATGCTCACCAAGGCCGGCGGTGCGCACAAGGGCGTGGCGCGAGGGGGGGGAAGGGGCTTCTAAGGAGGCGGCGAGGATCTTCTGAGAAGGCAGGGACTTTCTCAGAGGGGCCTGGAGGCTGCCAAGAAGGCTCCCTCCCCCTCGGAAGCTCCCCCGCCTCCTTCTTGTGCACCACCCCTCGCGCTACCTCCTTGTGCGCGCCGCCGCCGAGGGGGTGGCGGACTCCCAGCACGCGATCGACCGGCGCACCGCCGTCAGGTTCTTCAAGCTCGTCGTGCACAGCATCGGCGACGAGCGCATGCGGCAAGATGGCCTCCGGCTCCTCGACGCGATCCGGGCACACGGGCTCTCGCCCGCGGTCGGTGCCCAGGACCACTTGATCGTCGCGTGGAGGAGCAAGCTTCCAGAGCACGTCGTGGCGTACTTCGTCAAGATGAGGGAGGATCGGGTCCTCCTCCTCCTCCTCTTCCTCCTGCTCCTCTTCCTCCTCCTCCTCCTCCTCCACCTCCTCCTCCTCCTCCTCCTCCTCCTCCTCCATCGGGAAAGGGCCATCGGGAAGAAACCGGTCAGCGCTCGGGTCGGCCCAGTCCGCCTGGAGCCTTGGCGCCCCGAGGCCCTGGAGGCCCGATCCGCTGTGGCCACGAGGCGGCCGTTCCACGGCTGCTGGGTCAGGGCACTGCCGGGGCGGCCCTGGTGGCACCCAAGCGGCTCCCTTCGGAGCCCAGGGCTGGCCTCAGGGGAACAATCCTTGGCAGGAGCATCAAAAACTCGGAGGTCCGCGCGGATTTCTCGGATTGGCGCTGGGGCCCCCTGGCGGCGCCTTCGGCGCTGCCCCTGGCGCGCTCCGCACGCCAGGGAGGGGGGTCCAGCGCCGATCCGAGCAATCCGCGCGGACATCTGAGTTCAAAGTCTATGCCACTGTTTGTTTCCGTAGACCTGGCTGTTTTCTGCTCTCTGGAGGAGGGCATCATCCTCAGCTGGACGGCGTACCGCTGCATCATGTCCGCGTACCAGTGGAGCGACCCCGCATTCGCGCTGACGCTCTACGACGAGCTCACCGAGCGGGGAGTCCGCCCCGACCGGGTGCACTTCAACGCGGCTCTCACCGCCTACTGCGAGCTCGGCAGGATGGACAAGGCCATGCAGCTGCTCAAGGACGGGCCTAGCCTGCGGGTGGAGCCAAACGCCCAAACCTATCAGATAGTGGTCAGGGCTTGCGTCGCCAACGACAAGCTGGAGGAGGCACTGGCCCTTTTCAATGAGATGCTTGAGGCGCAGATCAGCCCCTACCGCGCCACCTATCACGACGCAGTGTTTTGCTGCGTCAAGCTCAAGAGGTACGATGATGCCGTCGCGATGTGCAACGTGATGACGCCAGGGAATCGGCGCCCCAACGAAGAGGCAGGCATGTTCCTGAGGAGGATTTGCCAGAGGCAGGACTGGAGTGACACTGCGGCCCTCGTTGCCGAGGACTTCCCGCAGGTGAGGAAGGCGCCCGCCCAGAGCAAGCACTAGCAGCGGCCAAGGGGTATCGAGAGGCCGGCCGGCGGATGCAGCAGTGTCCACGTGCACTGCAGGTCTGGAGTCGCACGCCGGGGCTCCCTTGCCCAGCCTCGGGAGCCCCGTCGAGCCATGCCCGAGGCCCAAAGGGCGCCACTCCGCGCGAGCCGCTTGGGCCGCGCGGGGTGCCGGCGCTGAAAGGGGCCGGGCCGTCGACGCCTCGCGAATGCCTGCAGGGCTACTCAGCGCGAGCCGCTTGGGCCACGGTGGGTGCGGACGCAGGCGCGGGCAGGCGCAAAGGAGAGAAGGCGGAGTTCATGCCAGCGGGACGCAGGCGCAGAAGAGAGCGGGGCACGCCGAGCGAAGGAGAAGTACGGAAGGGGATGCTGCGCCCAACACATGTGTGACGCCTACGCGGCACATGTGCCATCGTGCCATCGGACGGGAGAGTTCGAGCATGCGCACGGCGGGGGCATTGATTGAGAAGAGTTGGTCGGAGGGCAAGATCCCGGGGCGTCTGCGTCTTCTGAGGGGGCGCCAGGGTCAATGTTCGGGTCGAGTCCTGATCTCCCCCCCTCCCCCTACACGGTCAAGGGATTTTGGCCGTTGTGATGGTCTTTGGTTTCTTGTCCAATGAACCCTTGCCAAGAACATCCGTCGCACGAGTGGAGCACGTAACATAGACAAACAGGCGAAGATAAGCAGCATGATGCAGAACTCAAAACAACCTGCTAGAGTTGAGGACCAGGAGGCGTTGACGACCAAGCGTTGCCAACAATAGGAAACACATGCCGCAGCGGGATTTCCCAAGCCCTAACACACAAGCCACAAAACACGTGAGCAAGCAGTCACGCATTCGGTTTAGAGAGCTGTCGCCGAGGCGAAGTTCTGATGACCTAGGTCGAGTCAATTGTCTGGAGTGTGGGCCAACGGTTTTGGGGCACCTGCGACGTTCGCACAATCCGACCCCGCGCGCGGGGACTGGTCCTGGGAGCGCAGGCGCATGCTGGCGTTTTCGTCCTTCCGCCGAGCTATTCCTTCTCTCGAAGACGCCCCCGGCGGGCGGAGGCGGCGGAGGAGGAATAGTCCTCGTCGGGCGAGCGCGGCTCCCCGCGCGCCAGCGGAGGCACGGCACGAGGCCCCCTACAGTCAGGAGGGGAACACACACACACATAATTAACCGTCGATTCCCTGGAAAATATGGGAAAATATGGGAATTGGGCGGGAAGACAAAAACCCAGAAAATACATGAAACTATGGGGAATCTTTTTATTTGTGTGTATTTATTTGTGTGTCCCAGGGCCCCTTCATACAGTCTGCGAGCGGCCCTCCTGGGACGGAGGCGGGGGAGGATGAGGGGAGGAGGATCATCATCATCATCATCATCATCATCATCATCATCATCATCATCATCATCATCATCATCATTGCCTGCTGCCTTTCGGAAGCGCCTGCGCGGTGCAGTGTCGAGCGAGGGTGCAGCTGTGCTGGGGGCCTGCGTGCTCCCCGAGCGCTTCGCGGGCAGTCGCTGCAGGAACACTGGGGGGCGACCACTGGGGTCCTCTTGTGGCTTTTTCGCTGGTATTCTTTCCAGTCCATTTTCAGGAGGGAGAATCACACAGACACAATTGCTCGTCGACTCCCAGGAATCTGGGAAAATACAGGAAGGGGGGGGGGGGGGAAAACCAACACCCATAATATGTAGGAAAACACGTGGAATCCTTGGATTCGTGTCTAGTTTTCGTGTGGGGCCCCCTCGCATTTTGGCGACGAAGAAGGCCAGGTCCAGCTGCGTCAACATTCGCGCGGAAGCTGCCCGCGTGAGGCCGCGCGTGAGCGCCCTCGTCTCCAGTGCAGCGTGCCGCGCTGGCGGCCCGCGTAAGCTGCGGCGCGAGGTCGCCATGCCATCTCGCGCAGGGCCCCTTTCGGTTCGTCGCCCGTCTGGGCCTCCCTTGGGGGACCCCCTTGGGGGCTCTCTGGGGCTGCAGTCAGCCAGCATAGTAAGGACGAGCGACTTTCCAAGGTTACCCTTGCATCCTTCCCCTTCGGCCCATCCTTGGCCGCTTTCGCTGGCCACGCCCCGCTCTCAAAACGTCAACATTACCTTCCAAGGCCCTTGCATCCTTACCGCGCATCCGTACTAAATGACAGTACGGTCGGGCCGAGGTATAAGATCGAGGTCGGTTCGGGGAGGGTGCCCTACTGTTCTTCGTGTTTGCTGGGTGCTCTTGTGCATCCTGGGGGAGGGCCCCTGCTCTCTTGGGCCACCTGTCGGCGGCGAGCGAGGGGGCAAGTGAGAAGGGGCGGGCCTTCTCGGAAGGCTCGGCAGTCCCCCGGCCTTCTGAGAAGGTTCCAAAGCCTTTCTCGAAGACGCAGAAAATCTCTCCGAAGGCCGGTGGCCTTCTGAGAAGCCCCGTTGCCTTTTGAGAAGGCCTTCTTCTTCTTCTTCTTCTTATCACTTCCCCCCTCGCTCGCCGCCGAGAGCGGAGGGAGGAGGAGGAGAAGGCGGAGGAGGAGAAGGAGGCGAAGGAGGAGGAGCAGGAGGAGGAGGAGGAGGAGGAGGAGCAGGAGGAGCAGCAGGAGGAGCAGCAGGAGGAGGAGGAGGAGGGGGAGGAGGGGGAGGATCTTGTCGCAGCGCGAGGGGGTCTGGGCCTCCTTCTCTCACGTTCCCCCCCCCCCCCCTTGGGGCCCGCCGCCGCTTGGGGGCTCTCCCGGGGCCCGCAGGTCGGGGTCGCGGGGTGGAGCCCGGAGGCGGGCGGCGGCGCCCAGGGCCTGGCAGAGCTTCGACGCCCCGCGCGTCCTGCCGCGGGAGCCCGCGCAGTGGCAGGCGCGCCCGCGCCCGTCGTCGTCGTCGTCGTCGTCGTCGTCGTCGTCGTCGTCGTCGTCGTCGTCGTCGTCGTCCGTCGTCGTCCGTCGTTCGTCGTTCGTCGTTCGTCGTTCGTCGTCAGTCGTTCGTCGTTCGTCGTTCGTCGTTCGTCGTCGTTCGTCGTTCGTCGTTG